CCCCTCTGCTTTACATTGTTCCCAGAGGGTCCTGGGCCACCATTTGAGCTTCCCTCTGTCAAATACATCTTCTTCTTTCTCTGTCAAGCTAAGGCTCCCCTCCTCCAGAGCTCTGCGTAAGCCCTTCAGCCTCCATGAATCCCTCAGTGAGTGAGCAAACTACCACTGGATTTAGTCATTGCAAATGTACTTTATTTACCCCTTAGCACTTTTACTACATGTACATGTTAGTGTTCTTCAAAGAAACAGAACCAATAGGATATATAGAGATATATGAGAAGATTTATTATGGGAATTGACTCATGTGGTTATGGAAGCCGAGAAGTTCCACCGTGTGACATCAGCATCTTCTTTACTAACTGCATTGATTCAAATGCTAATCTCTTCTGGAAACACCCTCACCCCTCACAGACACATCCAAAATAATGTTTTACCAGCTATCTGGCCATCCTTAGCTCAGTCAAGTTGACATATAAAATTAACCATCTCAATGTACATGTGAATTATATATAACTAGGTCTATACCTGAGATAATCTAATATCGTTGGAGCTGTATTAATTTGTACTTATAATTTTATGTTATATTTGCATATGCTTTCGGCACTCTTCTGTATATTTGCCCTAGTTCTCCTTTAGATTGTCATCTCTTTGAGAAAAAGGACCAGATGTTTATGTCATTTGCATATTTTACAATTTCTAATCTGATGACATGTACTCAGGGAGCTACCATGAAAGACCAAAATAACAAAGCACTGCATAAGCTTACAGTTTTCTACTTTTTAAAAATTGTTTCAGAGAATTTTTAAAGTCATATATACATACATAAAACGATGATTTAAAGTTTACAGAATTAAGAGGATATTGAAATATAGGATTAGAAATTTTCCATCCCTAAAAGTGAGATTATAGTCAACAGGACTACAAAGCTTTTTACGTTATTTTAAAAATTTCAGATTAGAAATCATAAAAGAAATTTAAGAATATAGACCGTTTTAAAAGGCCTAATTATATCTTCTAATTTAATCTAGAATCACACTTTCTTGAATTATTTTAAAATTATTTTATTGCTTCCTAAATACAAATAACCCTAGTAGGAATACTCTTACATTCTGCCAACAGTTTTTGAAAACCTAATTTGTTTAACCCCTGCAATCAGTGTTGGGTTTATAAAACTAAAACACATGATTTTGACTTACTCCTACTATCAATAAATTAAGAAATGGGATTTTGGAAAGAGAGATGAGATAGAGTAGAGGTGAAGTTTGGTTAGCCTTAAGAGGTAAAGCGTGAGGACATGGAGAAATTGGAATCCTTGCACACTATTGTTGGGAATGTAAAATGGTACAGCTACTGTGGAAGACAGTATGATGGCTTCTCCGAAATTAAAGACAGAAGCAAGCACCCTTGTGAACCTGCAATTTCTCTTCTGGGTATATATTCAAAAAAAAGCTAAAAGAAGGATCTCAAAGAGACATTTGCACATTCATATTCATAGCAGTACTATTTACAATTGTCAAGAGGTGGAAGCAACCCAAGTATCTAGCAACAGCTGAATGGATAAGCAAAATGCGGTGTATATATACAATGGAATATTATTCAGCCTTAGAAAGGAAGGAAATTCTGACCCATGCTACAACATGGATGAACCTTGAGGGCATTATGCTAAGTAAAATAAGCCAGTCACAAAAAGACAAATAGTATAGGATTCCATAATTTTATTGGCTTTTTTGCTCCTGTAGTTCAAGTGGGAGGGAGTAGCACCCAGTGGCTTCTTCTCTCCCATTGTTCGACAAGTGGAAGTGAGTGTTATAGCTCTTTTACTCCTGTTGCCCACAGCTTGGCAAACAGGAGTGCTACAGTTCCTTCGCTCCCACAGTTCAGTGACTTCTGGGTTCTTGACCCATGATTAAGAGGAATAAGGTACACAGACACTGGAGAGTGGGTAAAGCACAGTAGAATTTTATTGAGTGACAGAAAGAAAGTTCTCAGCATTGAGAGGGGACCTGAAATTGGGTAGCCATCTGTAAGGCTGAGTCTGGGGTTTTTATGGGCTTAGAATGGGGAAGTGTGTGTTGATTGGCCCATGGGTGGTCTTGGAAAAAGCACCATTTGATTGGTTAAAAGGCATCATTCACAAGGAATCAACTAAGAGAGAGTGAGTAAGATGGATAAAGAAGGTCTCACTCTGCTTGTGGACTCTATCCAGAATTGGCAGCTTGGTTCTCAGGCATTAAACTGTCCTTGGCTTGAAGGTCAGGTTTCACTGGAGACTGATCCCTGTCTGCCTAGGAATTTGTCTGTCTCCTGTCCCTATCAATGTGAGGTATCTAGAGTAGTCAAATGCATAGAAATAGAAAGTAGAATGGTAGTTTCCAGAAACTGAGGAGAGGGAATAATGGGGAATTGTTGATGGGTAGAGTTTGAGTTTTGCAAAATGAAAATGTTCTGGAGATTGGTTGCATAGCACTGTTAGTATACTAAACACTACTGAACTGTGCCCTCAGAAATGGTTAAAATGGCAAATTTTCTGTCATGCAGTTTTTAAAGCCACTATACAAGATTTTAAAAGAGGGATAAAAAAAGCCAGGTCTATGTAAACCTGGTCTTGAAGGAGGACACTCTGGTTTTTGTTATGATCAACAGATGATGAGTTCTCTTTAGATTGTTGAATTTAAGTTACCTACCCAACAGTAATGTCCAGGAAGTTCTAGATATAACAGGAGTAGGGCTAGAGGTGTAGAGTTTGTCATCCACATATCAGAAGTACTTACCCTTCATGGAGTTGAATGAGCTCATCTATAGAGAAAAAGTAGAAACATTAAAAAGTGAAGGATAGAATCCCAGGTTCCAGCTTAAAAACGGGGCAGGTAGTAGATAAAAAGGCTCTGAGGAAGAGAAACAGCAGCCAAAGATTTAGAGGAAATTACTGTCCACAGGTCAAGTAGGGTGAAGACAGAAAGTTACCTACAGGATTTGGCTGGCAGGCCTTTGGTGACCTTGCCAAAGGGCCCACATAAGAATAGTGGGATGGGGTCCTCCATTTCTCCCACTAGACTCCCCTCCTCTACACAGGGGCTCTTAACCTGTGATTCATGGACTTGGGAGAGGCTTCAGGGAATGTGTGCAGATATAGCAAAATCTAGGTAAAGTCAGGAAATGTAGGCAAAATGTTGCATGAATGCGTTTTTCTTTTAGGGAGAGTTTTCATGACTTTCATCAGATTTTTAGTAGGTTCTGTGATCCAATAAATGTTTATGTGCCAAAGCATATGGAATCAAGATCCAATGTTTCTGCTATGCTGATTTCACTTAAATTATGACTAGAATTCCTTTTTGTGGACCAAGTTTGAGGATTTAATCACAATTTATAATATATTTTCTTATGGGAAGATATTGTTGACAAAAAATGGCCAAACTCTGTAAAATATTTAAAGGTTTATTCTGAGCCGAATATGAGTGACTGTGGCATGTAACACAGCTTCTGGAGGTCCTGAAAACATGTGCCCAGGTTAGGTGGGTTATAGCTTGGTGGTATACATTTTAGAGAGACAGAAGTCACAGGCAAAGATAAATCAATATACGTAAGGTATACTTTTGGCCCAGCAAGGCGGGACATCTGCTGGGGATTGGGAAGTAGGGAGGTGGTTGGGGTCCCAAGTCATAGATAGATTCAAAGATTGGCAATTGGCTGAAAGAGTTAAGCTTTGCCTGAAGAGTTGAAGTCAGCATAAAGAAATGCTTGAGTTAAGATAAGGGCTATTGTGGAAGCCAAGGTTCTTGTTATATAGATGAAGCCCCTAAGTAACAGGCTACATACAGAGAGAATAGATGGTAAAATCTCTTATTGGACCTTAAAAATAAGACTCTTAGTTGAATGTCTACTGGATCAGGAAAAGACCTGGAAAGAGAAGGGGATTCTCTACAGAATGCAGATTTCCCCCACAAGTGATGACTTTGCAGGACCATTCCCAAATATGTCAAATAAATATATTTTGGGGCAAAATACTTTGATTTCCTTTATGGCCCATTGTTTGTCATGGGATGCTATCCTAGAGTCAGGTTGGAATTTAGCATCTTATTGCCACAAAGAGTCTGTTTTGTCAGCCTTATGATCTTTATTTTAATGGTAATGCTGTTTGGTCAGTTGTGCCTAAACTCCAAAGGGTATATAACAAGGCATATCTGACCTTTCTTCCCATCATGGCCTGAACTAGTCTTTTCAGGTTTTCTTGGGGATCCCCTTGGCCTAGGGGTAGGTGGTTCTTCAGTCAGTTGGGGACTTAGAATTTTATTTTTGGTTTACAATATCATCCAAGTTCTGAAGTGACATGCAGATGGCCTCATGTTATACAATATGTTTAAGTTGGAGACTTGTAACTTTTGTAGTTTAAATTTCAATGGTCAGTCAACAGATCAGAGGAGAACACACACTAGAAATCAGTCTAATAGTCAAAGAGAGATAGTCTTACTAACTTTGAGTATCAGACTGTGTGTGGCGTTTTCAGCACCTGCCCTGCATCCCCTTACATTTTGGATGTTACAGGCAGAAAGCATTCTGTATATTCAAGTGTGTTTATATGATCTCAGTTTCCTCAACTGTAAGTAAGTTAAGAGTTGCCAGATATTATGTAATCTGAAAATGAACTTTCCTTGTATAAAGACTTTTAAATATTCTTAAAAGGTTTTTACATCTTTATCTTTCTTTCAGATCTCTAGCATTTTCCCCACATATGTGCAATGTGAATATGTATTGATCATTCTCGAATTAGATCATTCTGTTTGAATTAGATCATTCTTTCTGTTTGAATTAGATCATATCGTGTGAATTTTGCAAGTTCTATAGAAGAACAAATCTGAATGAATGCACAGAAATCCATCCTCACTTTTGGAAAAGGAGTTTGGAATATTTATCTTATTGATAGCAGGCAGGAGGGGTGGCATTCATAGCTTAAGAAATTAAGGTAGTGAGTCATATTTTATAAACACTACTATTGATATTATGCCAAACAGAACTAAGGCCACATTTTAGCCTTGCATCTGAGAGTGATACTGCTGATCAAGAAGACTTGGATGTAGAAGAGGACCATGAGGAACAGCCTTCAAATCAAAGTGTTCGAAGACCTCAGGCTGTCATTGAAGATGCTGTGGCTACCTCAGGCGTGAGCACGCTCAGTTCTACTGTGTCCCATGATTCCCAGAGTGCTCACCGGTCACTAAATGTACAGCTTGGGAGGATGAAAATAGAAACCAATAGGTAAGTCATACGCTGATGTGGGTTGGTTTCTTTTCTTTTACTTTTACTGAAGAGCATGTGTTTTTGGTCTACAAAATATGATTCCCTTATCCCATTCATGGAAACTTGATTGAATGCCTTTCTTTATAAACAAAAGAGGTTTAGTTTAGTCTTTAAGCCTTCTTCAGCAGCGTTTATTACTTCTTCATCTGCAAGTGCCCTGAGATTTTTCCAGTAGCTTCATTGTAGCCTCATAGACTAAGAAACAGGCTCAGAGCAGAATGTACCTTCCAGTAGATAGCTGAAAGAACAGAAAGCTCAGTTATTGAAAGCCCAATCAAATTCTTATGGGGAGGAAGATCACGAGGTTGAGGGAACAAAACTAATTAATGGTGCAAAAGATTTGTATTTTAGAACCTAAAAAGGAAGACAGTTGACCACCTTTGTGATTCTATTTTATTTTCAATACGCTGTACCATATCTGGAGTATAATTTGCCTTTGATAATTTGGTAGTTTAGAACCCACAGGATCAGATTATTAAGTTAACAGCAAATGTTTCCTGTTCTTCGCAGATGTTGTTGATACAGTTCAAGGTCTGAATTTTTATAACTTCCTGTGCTGCCTACAGTTGACATGTGGGAAACTGACTTTATGACTCTGGGTTTGCATTAAAAAACTCTTTTTAAGTTAATCAACAAAAGTTGTTCAAATATTTAGAAACTTTAATTGAAAACTCTAGTTGTTCACCAGGGAAATTAAAAATATCTTATTTGCAGTCATAAAGTTTAGGTTTTTAAAGGCAAGCTTGTATACCAAAATGAGTACAAGTAGTAAAAGCTCACCCTATATTCAGAAACATGGTTGCATGGTTAAGTAAACAGTATAAGACACATCTTCTATGATGTGCATAAAGCAGTCTTTTTTAATAAAGGGAGATTGGCTCTCTGACTTTCGTATCCCACTTTTGTCCTCTGAAATGCAGCTCTTGCCATCTCTACTATTTAATGGGAAAGAACTTGGGTCTCTTCTGAGACTTCATGGAAATCTTGGTCTCCCTCATTCTTCTTCTTCTCAAGCAAGAGCCCAAGGATAACACCCCATTCGTTATGGAAGATGTCCATGTTAGTCACTTGCCTCTAAGTTACCCTCTGTTGCCCAGTCCTGAGTGGTGGTGTTGCTTGGACTCCTGCTGTGATCTCTGGAGGAGGAAAGTTCACTCATTACTGTTTTGGTTGACCCCTTCTCGCCCATGACTTCCGGTTAGAATTACACAGATAGTAAAGCTACTTTGTTTACCAAAGAGCCGGTATATCTGCTTTTCTGGCCCTGAAACCTCCTGTCTACACACCTGGCTTATGTCAACAGGACCTGCCTCTCCTAATGCAGCCTAGACACGACTCTTTTCCCTTCTCTCCTTGGCCTATTTGGTTAGCCTGTGCTCACCACCCTGGCACCACCATCTGTCCACAGTCCTTGGGCCATCTGCAGTCCCTCAGGGCTTCCGGCCACTTTCTTTTCTTTTTTTTTTGAGATGGAGTTTCACTCTTGTTACCCAGGCTGGAGTGCAATGGCGCTATCTCGGCTCACCGCAACCTCTGCCTCCTGGGTTCAGGCAATTCTCCTGCCTCAGCCTCCCGAGTAGCTGGGATTACAGGCACGCACCACCATGCCCAGCTAATTTTTTGTGTTTTTAGTAAAGACGGGGTTTCACCATGTTGACCAGGATGGTCCCGTTCTGTTGACCTCGTGATCCACCCGCCTCGGCCTCCCAAAGTGCTGGGATTACAGGCGTGAGCCACCGCGCCCGGCCCCCGGCCACTTTCTTCATGGCTTCCTCTTTCTCTTCTGAGGGTCTCTTGGTTCTAGCTGAGGGCCTGCTTTTCACATCTGCCCATCTCTGTTGAAAAGACTGGCATTTACTCACATCTCTTTATTATATAGTTTCTACAACAACCTATACATTTACACTTTTTCCTCTACATATTTACATTAGAATCTGGAAATCTACAGATAATCAGCCTCTTTTTTCCTTTTTCAGTAATATTTCCCATGGTCTCCATCACCTGCAGAAAAGTGAGATGAGAGACAATGTCTGCTTCACATATGATTTGAAGAAAGGGCAGCTGATTTAGTAGAAAAACCAAGTGATTGAAATAAGGGACCCATCCTGTCCATATTGGTCCTTCTAATCTTCAGTTGAATACTACTTGAAATATAAAGGCATACCTACTATGAAATGAATCTAGAAGAAATGTTAGTGTGTTTTTAGGAAAGGTTGCTCTCATATTAAAATCGTAAGCTTAGAATATTTAGGATGATCACTAATGAAATCAGGTTTATTCAGCTCGGAGGATCACTTGAGCCCAAGAGGTTGAGGCTGCAATGAGCCATGATTGCACCACTGCACTCCAGCCTGGATGACAGAGCAAAACCCTGTCTCAAAAACAAAAACAAAATGCTAACTCAGGAGGAGCTGCCTGTTAATCTAATTTCCCCATCCTGCATTTCTGGAATTACCCACCAATCCACCTCACCACTCCCGCCCATCCAAGGTTAAAAATTGACCTTATGGCAGATCCTGCCATACTCTTCTGCAACAGAAAAGCTGACGGTTGTTGCCTTGATTCCAAAATATTGCCCTACTAACTAAATGAAAAGTAGAGATAAAATGGATGGACTGGATTGTTGTTAAGATAAATACTTCTAAGACCTGAATTTGGAGCAAATGAGGTGGACTGTTAGTACTCTGCTTCCAGTGTTAAAGTTCTAGTGTTTAAGGTGTTAAAAGAAAGCTTCAGACAAATTAAATTTAACAGAGTTTAATTGAACAAGAAAAAAATAATTTGTGAATCAGGTGGCTTCCAGAATCACAGCAGATGCAGAGAGGCCCAGGGATGCCTTGCGGCCAGAACAAATTTATAGACAGAAAAAGTAAAGTGATGTACAGGAATCGGAAGTGTACAGAAAGAGCTGGATTGGTTACAGGTTGTGATTCACCTTATTTGAACACTCAGCAGTGTATGAGTGGTTGAAGTATGGCTGCTGGGATTAGCCAAGACTCAGCTATTGTTACAGACGCATGCTCCTAAGTTAGGTTTTCAATCTTGTCTGTTAAGTTAGGTTATAGTTTGTCCACGAGGACTCAAATATGCAAGTTCTTAGAGTCCTTCACAGGCCATATTTCATCCACTTTAACAAAAGGTAAAAATAAATTACATAGTCTAGACAAACATAGGTTAAACTCTAGACAACGTTAACTGTATTCCTTGAGAAAACAGTAAGACGATACCATCACTATCCCATATGTATAAATTAGCAAGAAGGACAAAAATACAAACCAGATCAAAAAACTGCCAATTTAAACATTCACATGGAGCTCGCTGCCCATTTCTTTGGATAGCATTTGTTTTGGAGTAGATAAGACGTCCCCCTCCAGCCCTCTGCTTCCTCTTCTACCTTTCAGTTTATGCCGCTTCATCCACCTAATTGTGTACCACACTTACTCTGCAGCTGTCTTTGTTAACCTGTCTTCCTCCACCCACCTTCTCTGTCTACCTCTCATTGTGTTTTACTTTTTCCTACCTCTGCTGCCTACTCTGCTGGGATCCCTTCTCCTATCTAAGGGTTTCATCGTTATGTCCTGTAGGAATGGGGTCGAGCCTGGGAACCTGAGAAGGTTTCCTTCCCACTGAGCCCTGGAATGGCTCTTTTCCAGGGATTGAGGCAGCAAGGAAAAGAATAGTCCTTATTAAAGGCCAGGCACCGCATTTGGCCCTTTACCTGTACTGTCTCATTTAATGCTCACAATAATCTTTTCTGGAAGCTTACTTTTCTTTTTCACAAATGATTTGAAAACTAAAGCCCAGAGGCATTAGGTAATTTATCCAAGGTTAACACAGGAAATGCAGAGCTGAACCAGGATACAAGCCCAGATCTGTCTGTCAGCTGCACGATGCTGCCTTCTGAGTATATCAAGTGAAGCAGAACAAACTTTTCCATGGAACATGGTCTTGAGTTAAACCTATCAATACTCAGAATAAACAAATAGAGCTTGTTAAGAGCTGTAGGTTATGCAACAATTTATCTTGGTAATCTTAATAATTATGTATTTTAAATTATTATTTCTGAATCCAAGTTCCACTAAGATACTATTCTGAAAAAATAGAGCATCTCTTTTCATAATTTGGAATGTTTTCTTTGAGAAATTCTATTGGAAATGGTGAGTAGGTTACCAGTTGGCTCTCAGTTGCGTAACGAACCTTCTACGGGTAAGAACTTTGGTATGAATATCACAGTTTCTCCTTGTTTCTTTGGAGACTGCATCAGATGCCAACTAGGAACTGAATGTACCAGGAACACAGCTATCCTTGTACCCGCTTCACCCCCACCCCCTTAGAATCGAGAAGCATGATAGTAACAACAATCATGATTATAGCAACAACCATGAACAATTATTGAGAGTTTGTTATATGCCAGATGTTCTAGGTGACCTCACCTATGACTATTTCTCAAATTTTCATACTTTAAGAAAAGTGATTACCTTTCTGATTTGCATTGATTATGATATTATGCACATTTGCCAACTTTTCTGATGGGCGTCTATACATGTAAAATATAAGTCTGTTAATACCTGTATCCCATATTTATATTTTTGACATTTATGGTTGTAAAAAGAAATAGCAGAACACATCTCTGAAGATTCTGGCAGATAATCTGTGGCGGAGGTTTTGAATTCTTGTCTGCAAGCACAGAGTCTTCCAAAGCTTTGCTTCCGGACATGGGGGTCTGTGGACCTGCAACATCAGTGTCACCTGGGAGCTCATTAGAAATAGTCTCAGAACTCACCCCAGGCGCATTGGACCAGAATCTGTATTTCAGTAAAATCGGGGTACCTGGCTTATTATAGCTCATGTCTAGAAGGTTACCCTAGACTGGGCACAGTGGCACACGTACACACATATAATCCCAGAGCTTTGGGAGGCTGAGGTGGGAGGATCATTTGAGGTCAGGAGTTCAGAGACCAGCCTAGACAATGTAATGAGACTCCGTCTCTTAAAAGAAAAAGAATCATTAGCCAGGCATGGTGGTGCAGGTCTATAGTCCCAGGTACTGGGGAAACTGAGATGGGAGGATCACTTGAGTCCAAGCGTTTAAGGCTGCAGTGAGCTAAAATCGGGCCACTACACTCAGCCTAGGCAACAGAGTGAGACCTTGTATCTAAAAAATAAAAATAGAAATAAAAGATCACCCTGTGTTACTACCTGTCAAACAATGTAATTTTCTTCTGCAGATTACTGGAAGAATTGGTTCGGAAAGAGAAAGAATTACAAGCACTCCTTCATCGAGCTATTGAAGAAAAAGACCAAGAAATTAAACACCTGAAGCTTAAGTCCCAACCCATAGGTGAATAGCAGTAAATTTTCTAGTAATACTGTTCAGCCAGGCTGCCACAAAAAGCCAAGAAAGCCAACAAGAAGTTTTAATTGTGACTAAGTCAGCATTTGTCTCTTCTGCCATGACTGCAAGCGGGAATTGCTTTAAAAAAAAAAAATCCAATTTTTAACTGTAGCAAACTCATTTCTTATAAGTGCAGTAAAAATAGATTATTCATAATCATCTTTTCCTGAGATTATGTATTACTGCGGTATTTAGGGCTTTCCATGTTTTTGGTCTTTCTTTAAAGATTTCACAATGAGATTACTATAATAAAATACTAGTTTTTGTCATTTTGCATTTATATTCTGCATATTCTAGCTCTTTTCCTTATAACTTGAAGAGGCTTGAATAAAGATGTAGTAGTAAAAAGGCATAGGTTGGGAGAATCTTATTTAGCCCATTTAGAGTGAAACAGAATTCATAGTTATTTGTCTAAATACATGGCTCTTCCATAGTAGAAAAACAGATTGTTATAATTATATAGTTCTCTGCTAATTGTGTTTATCTTTATTGCATGAAAACACAAAGTATAATCTTGGTACACAGAGTTTATTCTAAGAAACCATAAAATTGACATGAAAGTATAACGTAGGAGTATCATTTTATTACTGCTTTTGCTCCTTGTTTACTAGTAAATTCACTAGTCTGAGTTTTATTCATATTTATCATTTATACTGTCAATCTCGATTGTTTCTATGAACTATTCTCTGATAGAGCAAAATCTTGGAAAGTATCAGTAAATGTCTGTTGATTGTGAGGGTTATTAGGGGAAACTAAGAATATCTTCCCAAAATTCTGTTCTAGAAATTCCTGAGTTGCCTGTATTTCACCTAAATTCTCCTGGCACAAATACTGAAGATTCTGAACTTACCGACTGGCTGAGAGAAAATGGAGCTGATGAAGACACTATAAGCCGGGTAAATAAAACTGCCTATGGGACAAGTATTCTTTCACTTCATTTCATAATGTTGACTGCCTGCTATATGACAGGCACGGGATACATGGGTGAGCAAGTCAGACCCAGCCCTGTCCTTCTGAGGCTTATAGACCAGGGTAGGCACGTGATAATCAGGTAACTCCACAAATACAGATGTGATTCGACACTGGCAAATTCTATGAAGAAAAAGGTTATCAGGTGTTATTAGACAGGGAGAAACAGGCTGGGGAAGGTTCTTGGAGAAGGGGATGAATGGGGGGAATAAATAGGCCAGTTGTATGTATGTTAGGGAGCAGTGTGGGAGGGAGGCAAGGGAAGAACCTTGTGCAGGGGGCTGTGGTGTGCGCAAAGACAATGAGGCAGGCAAAAGCTCTGTGGTCCCGAGATCCTTAGGAATTTTATATGTTTGAAATGAAAACCAGAAAGAATGGGGAAAAAAAACCAAGACAGAACTAACAGAAAAAAATTCTTGTTTCTAATTCTTTGTTAATTTTTATTTGTTTGGGAGACAAGGTCTTGCTCTGTTACCCTGGCTGGAGTTCAGTGATCATAGCTCCCTGCAGCCTTGACCTCCTGGGCTCAAGTGATCCTCCCACCTTAGCCTCCTGAATAGTTGGGACTACAGTCATGAACCACCATACCCAGCTAATTTAAAACAAAATTTTAGAGATGGAGTCTTGCTATGTTGCCCAGGCTCGTCTTAAACTCCTGGCCCCAAACAATTCTCCCACCTCAGCCTCTCAAAGTACTGGGGTTATAGGCATGAGCCACCATACCAGGCCTGTTTGTTAAATGTTTAATTATTTTCAACATTATTAGACTCCACTGGGCAGCAGCTATTTTATTGCTACTTAATAAAATGAATCTAGTTGAACTTATTTCAGAACCATTTTCTATACAAACCATATTATACCTATAATAATCTAATTCCTCTCTGCTCCATATAGACTTTTTGTTGTTTTTTTTTTGAGACAGACTCTCACTCTGTCGCCCAGACTGGAGTGTAGTGGTGCGATCTCAGCTCACTGCAACCTCCATCTCCCAGGTTCAAGCGATTCTCCTACCTCAGCCTCTTGAGTAGCTGGGATTACAGGCATACGCCACCACGCCCAGCTGATTTTTTGTATTTTTAGTAGAAACAGGGTTTCACCATATTGGCCAGGCTGGTCTCGAACTCCCGACCTCAAGTGATCTGCCCGCCTCAGCTTCCTAAAGTGCTGAAATTACAGGTGTGAGCCACTGCCCCCGGCGTCTGCAGACTTTTGTAATGAGCACGAATATCATTTGTTTGTTTTAAGATTATATGAACACATAGGCATACATTAAAAGGTTGTAATATAGGCCGGACGCGGTGGCTCAAGCCTGTAATCCCAGCACTTTGGGAGGCCGAGGCGGGTGGATCACGAGGTCAAGAGATCGAGACCATCCTGGTCAACATGGTGAAACCCCGTCTCTACTAA